AGCATTTATGGCTTTATTTATTTGTTATCAAGACCCAGTCTACCTAATATACCAAGAATTTCCATTGAAAATAACCTCTATTTGTTACCTTTTTTTTTTTATCCTAATCCAAATTAAGAAATTACAATTTATGGGGAGTCCATTCATTTCTCCAGATGATCCAGAGATTCTCCCTTTATTCTCTCTCTTTATATTTCATTAGTTGCCTAATCAGTTTCCTGTGAATCATTTTCAAATGCTTTGTGAAATGAGGTAGAAAATAAAGTAAGAAAGAAATAAAAGAAAGGAAGCAAAAAATGAAAAATTAGGAAGGGACGGAAGAGGAAAGAGGAAATAAGTTTAAAAAAAAAATGCCCCATGAGGGTCAAAATGGGAAATACTGTGGGTTGGTAACTCAAACTCTTTCCCAACCCCTTTTCCTTAACTTCTTTCTACTATAAAACCATAAAGGTTAAAAATTTCTTTACTCATGCTCTTTTGAAGCTACCACTTCAGAAGGCAATGAATCATAAGTAGAAATCTGCTAGCTTTTTCTGGGAATAATTTTGCACTTTGGATGAAAGGGATAGATTAAGCTGCACTGCTACTTCTCCTTCCTTCCTTCTCTCTGCCTTAAATAGAATTGTGATATCTGGATTTGGGACAACTGTCTTGTGACCGTGATGTGAGAAGCCTAAGAAGAAAAACAAGAGAGCCCTGGAGATGCCATTTAGACGTTACTCAACTGCTTACTGCATCCCAGAAGGCTTCTAATTCAAATCTTTAATGATGGGAAAAAGAAGTTCCTAATTTTTGGCTAATTTCCCACGGGCATTTTGTTTCTTAAAGTGTAAAAACTTCATAATTGATTTAGGAATATTAAAGAAAAGACCAGGGGCATCTGGGTGGCTGTCAGTTGAGCGACCGACTTCGGCTCAGGTCATGATCTCACAGTGTGTGAGTTCAAGCCCCCGTGTTGGGCTCTGTGCTGACAGCTCAGAGCCTGGAGCTTGCTTCTGATTCTGTCTCCCTCTCTCTGCCCCTCCCCCACTCATGCTCTGTCTCTCTCTGTCTCAGAAATAAATAAACATAAAAAAAAAAAAAAAAAACTGGAAAAAAAAGAAAAGACCAAACCTGAGAGGATGGAATTAAGAAGTGATTGGTTGAAAAGGCACAGAAGAGGAGCATGTTAGAGTTGCCTGTAAAGGTCCAGAAGGGTGGTGGCATGAAATAGTAGGGACGTTTTAGGGGGATACAAACTAGAGCATGCTGACTTCAAAGTGCATGTAGGATATCCAGGTTTAAGACACAGATGAGCATAAATAACCATTTTTGAGTGTGGGAGTACCCTGTAGTTTCACTTGGCAGTGAGAATGGAATCTTGGCAGTGGTTAAAATCTCTAGGGATAGTAATTCAAAGGACAATGGGGAACAATTACATTCAGTGGGTGTAGAAAAGAAGAAATGATTAGTAGAAACAAGTAACAGAATATGAAAATTTAGAAGTAGAGACGTAAGGCAGAGGTCCAAAATAGCGGGTTGGCCAATAATATGAAATAAAGTAGATGGCTTCAAAGAAAAAATAAAAATGTATCTTCAAATTAAGATCTATTTTTGTATGCTGACCTTCCCTTATAATGTGATTCTCTAACCTGATGCTATGTTTAATTTTCCTTGGCCTGCCCCACTTGTCACCACCTCAGGCCTTCTCATTTAAGAAAAGCCTCAGCATCTGAAATTTGTTACATGAATCAAAACTATAGTATCAACTGTTCTTTTGATTCATTAATTATTTTTAATTTTTAGATGATCACTAGAAATCTTGTATTTTTTCTATGCTTCAAAATCAATTTCTATACCACCTACAACCAAATAAAAAAGACATAACCAAATATAAAATTGGGCAAGACACTTGAACAAGTATTTCATAAAAGACAGTACTCATGCAAAAACATTTGAAAGATCCCAACCTCATCAATAGTCAGGGAAGTGCAAATTAACACTACAATGCATTACCATTACAAACTAATCAGATTGGCTATTGGTGAGGATATAAAGCAGCAGACACTCTCATACCTACTGATAGGCATATATACCAAATTGATACAACCCTTTGGAAAGTTGGTTTTATTGATTAGGATGGAACATATGTATATCTTATTTCCAAGATTTTCAATTCTAAGTATATATACTTAACAGAAATCGGTGTGAATGATTACCTAAAAAAATATGCGAGAATGTTCAGTATAGCATTTATTGCAATAGCTCTCAAGTAGAAATAAACTGCAAATATCTGTCTTGATTAGAATGGAAAACACGGGTGCCTGGGTGGCTCAGTTGGTTAAGCGTCTGACTTTGGCTCAGGTCATGATCTCACAGTTTGTGAGTCAGAGCCCTGTGTTGGGCTTTGTGCTGACAGCTGGGAGCCTGGAGCCTGCTTCAGATTCTGTGTCCCCCTCTCTCTCTGTCCCAACCCTGTTTGTGCTCTCTCTCGGTCTTTCAAAAATGAATAAACATTAAAAAAAGTTTTTTAAAAAAAGGAATGGAAAACAAAAATATTGTGATCTATTTCATACACTCTAACAATATACTGAAATGAAAAGAAAAATAAAACTACTGGTACCAAAATCTCCACAAAATTACTGTTACATACAACACGAGTGAATTTCAGAAACATAATAGTGAGCAAATAAGACAGATACAAAAGAGGATATATTAACATGTTTATAGATGGACAAAGTTAATATAAATGGCTGCAAGTCAGGAGTGGTACCTTTGGTGGTACCTTTGGAAAAAGGCACAACTAAGAATTCTGAGTGGCATAAATGTTCTAGAAGTTTCTTAAAGTGGATGATGATTATAAGGGTTCAGAATAACTCAACAAGCCACTTATTTATGATGTGTGCTCATTTTGGTATATGTGCAATTCCTGTCCCCACTTTCCTTTCACATGATTTTGAAATAAAAACTATTCTTGTTGACTTTCATTGTTCCATCCCAAGATCATTTTGGTTCCTGCCATACTTCATTTCTGGAAACTTTCTTCTTTTTTAAATCTTATTTAGCCATTTCTCACAGTGACTCTTTTATGCCATTTTCTCCCCAGGATTTCCTAACTCGTTTTTGACTGACACCTTTAATTTTCTCTCTGCCTTTGTCTTCAGCTTTATCTTCATAGACCACCCAAGAGAGCTATGTAAGTGTACATTTCAAATAACTTTTCTCAACATCCATTGGGAATGTGGGAAATTGTCTAGCAAGAAAGAGTATAAAGGAGTGTTAGAATAATTTTGATAATGGATAAATTGAAGTCTACTCTGTCACCATTTCACTCGCATAGTCTCTGTCACTTCTGTGCAGTTACATTTAGATGGAACTGCTCATTCCTACCTTCATTTGACTGAAAGCTCAATGAGAATTTCATGTGGCAGGCATTTATTATACTTTTTAAGTAAAAGAGAGCCTGAAAAATACCAAGAGAACGGTTTTAGCAACCAAAGTAGTTAAGAATGAGAATTACCTGTGGCACCTAAGCAAACAAATTTATTTTGCTTTTAAATGGGAAATAAAAGAAAATAGATATCTGAGCCACACTCCATAGCTTTGTATTTGTTGAGGTCAGTAGAAGGTGTGAGGGTTCCCTAACTAAACAGTGGAATGTGTGCAATACAGTGGATACTTTACATTCTTCCTTCTCAACACTGGATTTATGAAGTGGGTCCTGTTGTCCCAAATTAACACTTGTGAAAGAGGCTCAGAAAAGTCAAGTGATTTGCCTGAGATCATATAACAATTAAATGACCTAGTTAAGGTTTAAAGCTCAGACTGTGATTCCAAAGCCCGTGGTCTTTCTTCTCTATCTTCCTGCCTCATTTCAATGAAGGTTAATGAGACATGCATGTACACTAAGGGGATCAGGGACTGCTGGTTACTCGCATAGCACTGAAAAATATAATTTTTTATTGACCTCTCTTTATTTTGGTGTTTAACATTTAAAGCCTAAATTAAGAAGACATTATCTTTATATCTTTCGTAATGCACCACCTTCACAGTTATCCATCAAACCAGTTGGAAGCCGTGGTTGGAAATTCCTAGAGACGGCGGATAACGGTGCTAAATTTCTTTTCATTAGTTCTATTCATTAGCTTCAATAACTGAATATATTAACTAGACCTCACACATATATTAATCCCATAACTTGTTAATGTTCAGAAGAAAATTCGATTGTCACCTTTTTAAATGCATAATTTCATCGTTGAATCACATAGAACTGTTATGTAAGGATTTTAAATACAAATTGTAACTGTTGAACATTGATCCTCTGATTTCCTTTTTCAGGCAAACAAACACTAAAAACACTTTTTTATAAACACTTATATAAAAAGATGCAGTTTCAAAATAGTAAGCAATTTAAGTGTGATTTAGTAATACATATGGAAAAATTCTCGTTATTGGCAGGATAATAATTTCTCAACATTCTTAAGAACAAAGTGGCTTTTTAAAAGTACACTGTGTAAAAATCGATGGTTAATTTTTATTCTGCATCTCCCTTTCTTTGAGCACCTAGGGTTAAGTGAGAACTGAGTTATATTTAGAATGAGTTATAGCATGACAAAGTAGTAGCGTTGTGTTTCGAACAATCCTGGCATATGCAGTTATTTTCTGAAGTATTCTGTCTGGTGCCTGGTGATGGCATAACTCAGTACAAATGACATCACCTGCATGCAGAAACCTCACCTGTCTTACTGATTAGAGGCAAACTTTAGGAGAGCAGAAGGTAGTAAGGAAGTGAGGCCATAGAAGTGACAAAAAGAGGTTTAAAAAGAGATGCCTCAAGCAAAAGACTACAGATTTTTTTTTTTTAATGTAAGACTTACTGTGTTGTTTTGTTTTGCTTTTAACTGTTGAAATAATTTTACATGGGTGCAAACAAAAAGATTTCACTACAATGTGCAGTTAGCATACTTCTCAGTAGAGTGATTTTTTTGGGCAATGTGGGAAGGAGAAAATGATGTGCATACCTTTGCTTGTCCAGCTTTTGTGATGGCAGGTATATTAAAGAGCTGTCCAGTGTAAAAATGTACCCCACTGAACAGGATCACTGCAATTGAGTCTCCTTCCTTCTCAATTACTTCAAGGATATCCTCTGTTCTCAATGTTTCTTCCCCCTAAAGTCAAGTTAGACACAAATTACACCAAATCCACAATAATAAATTTATCACTTCAAATTTTCCAATCTAAAATTCACTTTGATGGAGCACCTGGTGGCTCAATCAGTTAAGCGTCAGACTCTTGACTTTGGCTCAGGTCATGATCTCATGGTCCTGGGATCAAGCCCCATGATAGGTTCTGCACTGAGTGTGGAGCATTCTCCAGATTCTCTCTCTCTCTCCCTCTCTCTCTCTACCCCTCTCCTACATGTGTGAGTATGCAGGCTCTTTCTCAAAACAAATAAACATAAAAAAAAATAAAATTCACCTTGAACTTTTCCCACCTAAGAACAATCAAAGACAATTTTTTTTTTCAGATTAATGGTCGTCAAAAATCTGACAAGAGAGCAGAATTTTGGTATGGTTTTTGTTATAAGAAATGATAATAAAATAGTAAAAAAAATGTTTATAAAGTAAAGTCTTTGCAAAACCCTACTCACTTGAGTTTTTTCTTCAGTTTTTCAATTAATCTTCAGTATCTCCATACCTACGAATTGTTTTCTCCTCCTTCCCATCCAGTAAAGTATCAGAAAGTACTAGAAGTCCATGAAATATTAAATGGCGAAAATTTCTTGAAAATTATTATTTCATTTATCAACCTATCACAATTTTTTCCAGGATAAAAAATCCTTATAGATCTTTCATCTGAATATAACCTAATCAATATTTTCTGTTACTTTAAGGAGAAACTCTCCTCCACATTGATCTAAGGATCAAGATCCAAAAATCAAGGGAAATATCAATAAAAGTCAATATTATCAAGGTTAGTTTTCCCTACTTATCCCCAGCTAAGACTAATTATTGCTTACTTAGAGAAAATGGCTAATTAATTTAGATTTGGTCTTGCAAACAACTTGAGCAAAAAGAAATCAGCTAAATAAATACAAAGTATCTACTTGTCCTAATCATTCTTAATCATTCATAAAGTTTTTATGAATTTTCTACTGTGCTAAATCTGACATAGTTTTGAAGTCAAAGTATAATTAACTCCATTAATATCTGAGGGAAACTCCTTAAGGTATTCATAAATTTTCCTTCAGTTATTTTAATTTTTGGTAACTGTTGCTATTTGTCCATTACTATGTCCCATGTTAAGCACATATATATCACAAATACAGCACACACTTTAATTTCTACTAGAAGCTTGGAACTTGTTTACAAAATTGAAATCTATAAAAATGGTATCGATGCTGAAATCTCTAAATTGTTAACTGATGTATACTTTATATGTAAAAAGAATGATTTCAGTAATTGTAAGAAAAATTCTAAGTAAAATTAATAGCATGGTAATCCAAAACCTTTTTCTGGGAAGAATCTAATATATTTGTCCACCATAATTTCAAAAAGAAGATTAATAGAAGTATTATATATTAACAATCTATATATTTGAGGATTCAGTATAAAGCAAATAAGAAATATATTTTTTAATGGCAGAATGTGGTTCTCTCTGATGTTGAATTTCTCTAATCTCGTAATGCTAAAGAATGTTCCCAAGATTATGATTAACTCATGAGGTTCCACAACACTTGTCTCTCTTAACATTAAAACGTCTGGTAAATTAGTGGCTATATTCATTTTTAGTAGAAATTAGCAATTTTTATATGAGGTATGAAATAGATATGCTGTCACAGGTATGAGAACTTTCCATTCCATTAATTTATTGCATGTTGGCAAATAGAACTAAATGGAGTAGATTTTAATTTCTCAAAGTATTCTGAATTGAAAGAAATAATTGTTCAACATTGGCTTAATAGCCTGGGAGCATCATTTGTGAGACCTACAATTTATTCTGTGTAGATCTCTTGATGCCAAATTACACAAGCTACAAGGTTCATATGTCAAAGTCTGTGCAACTTAGCCTTACATACATCTCTATTAATGTAAAGTACACAGTATTTTAGATCGTAAACATATGTCAAACCTGATTAGGTATTTCCTTTGTTACCTGTTTAAATATGAAGGTATTGCAGAGAGATAAAGTAACTATCTCAAAGTCCCTTGCCCGATAAGTTGATGGGTCTGGGATTTCTGTGGAGTGTATTAGCCAGGCTGAAAAGCCCAAGTCCTTTCCACTAAACCATATCCCTCTCTACACCTGCTTTGAGTCAAGCACAAAGGACAACATCTGATACTTAAGAGTAAAAAGAGATATTTCAACAATATCATTTTAAAGGCATCCATAAGCTATGGCGCTTGAAACTGAAAATGATATATGTAATTTGCCATCCTTTCCATCTCACTGAAGAATATGAGAGACTCTAGTGGTATTCAAAGGAAAATAGTTTGCTCGTAACATGACCATCCCTTGAAACATGAAAATAAATACACCTCTTAGTTAATTCTCCATTGTAAGCAAAATTAGCTAACAGTAACAGAAGTATAGGTCTTTTATATTTTCTTGAAAGTTCTATTAAAGTAATGAAGATAATAAACTTCTGAGGAAACTGAAGAAAAAAAATCAATCCCAAATAGAAGCATAATGAATATTTATTTATCTTTCTCTCATACCTCTCTTGGCTTTACAATCCGCATACTCTTCTCAATGTTAAGTCCATGTAGTTGAAGCTGTGACTCAACAGCATACTGGAAAAGAAGAATGATTTATTAAATCAAGTCCAATGCACAGAAATACATTAAAATAACTCCAAAAAGAGATAATAAAATGACAATAAAAGCACACTATTATATTAACTTTAAGGTCAAGGTTAAAAGTGACTAAACAGAACACATCAGAGAAGAACTGCTTAATATAGTTTATACACAGGAATATGAACATTCCTTGAAGCACTACATTTTTCATCTAGACTTTAGGGTGTTCCAAGTGATTTTTAGAAGATGTCTTGTCACCTAACAAGTCAAAAATGGAGCTTACAAAATAACCAGAGTGAGTACTGTGGACTTGCTATGTTTGAACTAGAGTATAAAAAGGGCTTACCCTAAAAAGAAAGGCTTTACCCTAAAAAGAGTAACTAATAAAAGGAAAGAAGATCAGAAATTTCCCTTCCCTGAGCCTACAGGATATGAATGGGAACAGGAAATTACAGGGATCCTGAATTTTTCTCAATATTAGGGTTTTCATCCTTTTTAGTGAAGTAATGGCTATTAATTTGATTAATAATGTCAATAATATATAATTATTAAGCAATAATTAATATTAGGGTTTTCATCCTTTTTAGTGAAGTAATGGCTATTAATATGATTAAATGACTTAAAATTACAAGATGTGGGTTAGAATAGTTAGCAGTGATAACAGAAAGACAGAAATCAAATTTGTCTAGCACTAAATCTGAAACACGCAATACACTTTTAGTTGTGTCTCTGTCTGGAACAATCAAATTTCTTAAAGTAGCAAGATTTAATGAACAACAAAAAAAAGTTTTAATCTTTAATAAATATTTTTTTTCAATAATAAAGCAGCAATAATTATGCTAGCATGCTATCGACAAATAAAAGTTTATATCCTTATTCTATGTAGCTGAAGGGTTAAGCACTGGGGTATGTATTGATTTGATTTCATAAAATAAAACAGCAACAAGAGTTAATAAAACATTTATAACTGCACTTGATTTAAACCAGCAGTTCACTCAATGTTTTTAAAAAGACTAATAAATCAATGTTCCTATTCAATCCTTTCCTCCCCTAACACATGTTTTACTTGAACAGGAGGAAAAAAAAAAAAAAAAAGCTACAGTCTATATTTTATTTTTTTATTTATTTTTTTTTTAAATTTTTTTTTTCAACGTTTTTTATTTATTTTTGGGACAGAGAGAGACAGAGCATGAATGGGGGAGGGGCAGAGAGAGAGGGAGACACAGAATCGGAAGCAGGCTCCAGGCTCTGAGCCATCAGCCCAGAGCCTGACGCGGGGCTCGAACTCACGGACCGCGAGATCGTGACCTGGCTGAAGTCGGACGCTTAACCGACTGCGCCACCCAGGCGCCCCTACAGTCTATATTTTAAAAATGCCTAATCAAAAGCACTTGACAGATGTTTTTATTGTAAGGTTACTTGGAAGAGATTAGTGAATAAACATTCAAAGCAGGCAAATGGTGTGCTCCTCTAGGAAGAGTAGAAAGAATATAAATATAATTTGAAGAATCCTTACATGATCTGAAGGGAAGGCTTTGGCTTCCAAAAGAATCTTATACCGTTTTGGTGTAGGCTTAAAAAATGATAGCTGCAATGAAATGGATTTATTGAGAAAAGCATTAATGCACAATTTATACCTGTGTTCATTGTATACCACATTACTTAATTACACATCTCCAGCATTACTTAATTACACGTCTGCATGTCTATCAAGGGTACCTCTGCCAATTAGCCTTATTTCCAATGAATTACAAAAAAGATAAAGGTATTGGTTCATTACATTTATCAATGGAAAAGCAAATTTGGGAGACAATGTGAATCAGATAAAAACAAATTCTCAAACTTTACTTAAATTTTAATTGATAAATTATCTTCCTAGTGCTTTTAATGGTGATTTCTCTATCATGAGGCTGAAATATCATGTTCTATATAAATCTTATTTATATTGATTTATCTTAGGCTGTTGATTTGGTTTCTGGTACATAATATTTCCACTGCTTTATGATTTTATAAGATTTTATTTTAGGTCCAACTAAAAGTACTTCAGGCCTGACATGAGACATTTGGCATTTTGGAGGCACCAGGGAGAAGTGGCTTATTTGTTCAGGGGGCCTTTCTTTCCCCCCCACAGTTCCTAGAAGATAACAATAACAACAATAGCAATGGAATGATTGCTGCTGTTAACTCAGTGTTAATCATTGGCCAAGTGCTAAAGCAATTTTCACATATCACATTTCACCCTCCGTGTATACCTGCAAAGTAGGTACTCTTGTTCTCATTTTCACAAAGGAGAAAATGAAGATTTAGAAATCACTAAAATCTTGTACAAGGTCAAACAGACATTAAGTTACTTAGCTAAGAATCAAACCCCAGGGCGTCTGACTTAAAACTATGCTATTTACCATCATGTTTAACATAATTCATGAACATGTCCCTCTGGGGATATTTCATAATCATTTCTTCATTTCATTAAAATAAAATATTAATATAGTCATTGTGCACCTTGGTTACATAGACATGTTTCCAAAAACTTGCTTAAAAATGAAAATATTTTTCAAAGCATCAAGCAGTTACTATAGGCACCATATTCCAAATCAAGAATATATTTGACATCTTAAGGTATACATATTTATTAAGTACTTAGGCATTATGAAACACTTTAAATACAGTAACTCATTTAAGGTATTAGATCCCTTTTCTCCAAGCTAGTTTTATTTTTTAATTCTTTTTTAACCTACTCCTCCAAAATTAATATACAAAAACATAACTGATCCATAATCCCACCCTGCTAACGTCCAGCATACTGGAAAACTCTTTCTGAAAACCTCAGTGTTTGCTGGCATTTGCACATCATTGTTTTGTGTGCTTGCAAGCAGTTTTGCTTTTAACCCACTGTGACTTTTATTCCTTATGTTCTGAGATAAGAACTGTTCATCATTTTAAAGCTCTTAGCAAGAGTCAACTCTCCCATGATTATGAAGAAGCCTTTCTATCACAGTCCAGCATTTCCTGGTAAAAATGAAAATAACCTCACAACTTATTTTTAAATAAGTAAACCACCAGATGCTCATGAATTAAAGATAGAAAAATGTCAGATTCTACAAATGAGTGTATACTAAACATTGGTGGGAAAGGAAACTTACCAGTAGAAGATGTAAATTAACAGTCAAACCATTCATTAGGGCTATTTCTTTCTCATTGGCTCCTGCAGAGTAAACATATCATAATTTAGATTTTTGTATTCATGCTAAAGTTACTTGGAAAAACAAAGTAGGAAGGCTTTGCTCCTTCATGCTTAATGCTTTTAGAGATAAGGACATATTTGATGTGTCATCACAAAGAAATGGAAGTTTTCCCGCTTGACTCATTTTGCCAAATGATATCTGGACTCACATGCACATAGCTAGCTAAAATTATATTTACTTTTTGATATAGTAAATAATAGCAACAAAATAATGAAGCATTTGCTTTTTCCTGTAAACTAAAAATGATTTATCCTATTATCAGGTAGTTTACCAAATTCCCACAGAGTACATTTTTGTGGTAAGTGTATCTCGAAAGAAATCAAGGCCAATCACAGGTTTAAAGCTGGTTGTTTCAAATGTCCAATTAAAACGCACCTTTAATAAAGACAGCTAGTTTGCCAAACATAATTCACTGTTATTGCAGTGAGACATATAGTAGTTTATAAGACAAAAGAGCTAGGAAGCAAAATACAAAGACCTAAATAGCTCTGGGATTTATTCATACACACCGAGATACAAGATAATTAATATAGATAGGTATCATCTGGTGGAGAACACATGCAAAATTAATATATCCACTACACAATCATAATCTGATCTCATTCTTAGTAAGGAGGGTTTGAGTGCTAGAAATAGACCTAGAGACAAAACATATATTGGATACTGAAGAACTCAGAGTAATACAACAACAATAATACTTCCTTATTTTTAGTTCTTATGATGTCTCTTAAAAGCAATTAGACCTGTGGAATAGGAAAAATCTATTTAACCACCACTGACAAAAATGGGTGCCTTAATGTTTGTAAAGCTGTATCAGGTGTTAGAGAACATGTACAATACAAATCCCATATTTCATATCCAAAGAGATATTTCTGTTAGAGTTCCATTTTAAAAGAAGAGACAATAAGTACAATAATTAATCTAATTTATAGATAGATTTTAGGATAAATTCACTTGAGGAGAGGCCACTAGAAATAAGTTTGTAACTTAGAAATTTATATTTCAACACAGTCATCTAGTCAAGAAAAACTTTATGTTGCATTTAGCAGATAGATTTCTCCATTTGATCATTTGATGTGCAAGGTTGGTAAACAATTGGTTAGAGAAATATCCCTGGTCATTTGTTAAGGTGAACAGCGTCTGAAGTCAGTGAGACCAATCTCATTCTACATTCCTAGCAGTAAATAAAATTTGTCCTAGACATACAAGATAGATATGAATATGATAACCTTATGTTGCATATAGTGGCATATGTCTTCTCCTACAATATGAAAATCCTTTGGAAATATGTAAGATAAATGCTGCCAGCTTTACTATATTTGTTTCTTTGCATTATGGTATGATTTTTTACTGTTATTTCTAAAACAAAACATTATCTAAGATATCTAACGTGATATTATCTTTAATTCTCTGAAGCTAATTACATGCATCATTTCTGAAAACCATTTATTTCAAAAAATATTTTGGCAGGAAAAGTGAAAGGAGAAAAGGAAGGAAAAGTAATATAAAGAGAGAGGAGATTTCATAGATACAGAAGCATCTGAAAGAATGTAATGAGAAGAAAAAAGAATTCAATAAGTTAGTTACCACAAAATGAAAACAAAGAAATAGAAGAGGCAGGAAGGGAGGGAGACTTTCTGATGAAGTTTAGACATCCTATTTTTGCTTAACAATTACACTCTGATTAAAATGACTGTAGATTTCTTGAAAATTTTAGTCCTCTAAACAATACAGTGTTCATTGTGGATAACCTAATTTTTTTTTTGTAAAGAATGTAATGAACCGTTTGTGCTAGGCACAATTAATGTAGACATACACTTTACCCTGCTTCCAGCCCACCCTAGCCCCCACTTTCAATGGCATACTAATGGCTGGATCAATTCTTTGTAAATAATCCCTCACTGTCTTGAATAATTTATCTGTCAGGATGCACAAAAATTATCTCATCTTAGAACACTCCAAATTCAACCAAGTACTCCACAAAAAAGATCTCCTCACCTGCTAGTGAACTTTGTGAAGGAGACAGTCTATTTAACGTGTGTGCATATGTATGCAGGTATATGTGAGGATGGTGCAAATATTAAAGTTTCAGAACATTAATGGAAATGTTTATTTCAAATATAACCTAAAAGCACTGAAGAATCAAGGGTTCTTAACATCAAAGGACCACAAATCAGACTTTTTTAGCATGTTTTTAAAGGAATATTTACCTATTTGACCTATCTTTTGATTAAAACTGCATTTCTGAAACCAACAGTTGTTCTTCTAAGATATTTCAGTATCATCATCATGCCATAAGAAAATTTTAAAAATTAAACAAACTGAAATTCTTTCAAGATGGTTTTCCTTGTTCTTTTTCTTTTTCCTAAGAGCTTTTTTTGAATTAATGTTGACACATCAAGAACTATCCGCATTGCAGGGTAAAAACATTTTTAAACTTCCTGAAAGCTTATCAAGATTTGAAAATCTTTACTTTAGAAGATCACCCTCTCTTAGAAAAAAAGAAAGTTTCAAGATTACATTGGGAAGCACTGTCTACATACATTATCAACTCCCTGTAAGTCAAATATAGGAGGCTGATGTTCATTACCAACATTTCCCTGCATGTTTCTAATTTTAGTTTAATTTCAAATATTTTGCCAAGAGATGATAGGGCCCCCAGCTGGTTAGTGTTTAATAAGAGGATTCATGATGGATCTCCTACCTGCCATCCATGTTCTGTATAATTTATTAAGCAGATGCAAATGTTATTGTGGATTTGCTTATTTATAAGGTTTGTAGTTAGGCTAACTCTCAGAACTTTCCATTCTGTGTTTCAAGTAGTAAATTCCTGCCGCCTCTGTAGGTAGCTAGTGCATGGTTAAGGATTTGTAACTGGAGACAGCTTCCAGGGATTATTGCTTCTCAGAGGGTCAACCATGAGTTTCATAAAGCAAATTTATGTCCACATTACAACATTTTTATAAGCTGAAATGCATGTATCTAGCCCTTTGTGATTTTTATGCACCCAGGGAAGAGTAGGCTTAATAATAATACTAATAATATTCTTCAGCAATTCTATTTCTAGCATCTTGATAATATGACATTAATTATAAGGGGAATTTACTCCATGTTTTGCAAAATTGTTGACTCCATATAAAATGTTTTATTAATAGTTTTTCTGCTCATCTGAAATTGGAATTCTTTTCTATGTCTATGAAAAAATGTAGGTGCTAATTGTCTCCTCCTCCTCTCCAACTACTCTATCAATTTGTACACGTAATAATTTTTATTACCCTCCTGCTACTTCTTTTAGGGAAATTTTATGGTGAAATAAAGGCTGTGGTTTTAAGAACCTGGAAGATTCTATCATTGCCCCAACTATACAACTTGTCTGTTTGCTCATGACACATTTAGGTAGCTGGCAACTAGCAAAAATAAATTTGACTTCCGCTGCTCTTTACTGTGCTTACCATATAATTATTTTAATTATTTCATGATTTATACAACATCTACTTCCAACCAGGATTTGAGGTTTCTTTGGTTACAAAGTGAGGGAGCATTATAAAAAATAGCATTAGAGTACAATATATGCAGATGAGAAACAAACAAAAACTGTTAAATGTTTTTGTTACTTCCAATTCAGTCAAATTTCCTCAGATTTTCCTAGGAATCCAGGCAAAAAGGGAACCTGGGTGGGATTTGCAACAAACAAGATAAATACAAATATATGTAAAAACATTTTCTAAAATGATCTATTCCTAATAAAACAAACAGTGTGAACTTATTCATTTTTCAACTTGTCTTAAGAACCATTTCTCTAATATATACAACTGAAAAAAGTAAAGAAAATTGAAGGATAATAGTGACTAAAACTTTTTTTAAAAAAGTACCAAGTTTTAAAAATATCATTTATAATACACATTTGTAGACACAGTCAATTCATATTCCTTTGGTCAATAAGAAATAGTAGAAATATTTCTCCTGATAAAACACAAATTGTAGAGAACAAAACAGACATGTAATAAAATCACAATTAAACTAAAGATCACCTTCATTCACTGACATTTCAAAAGAAATTTTACAACGTATTTGTCATATGAGGCTTGAGACTTCAATAAGACTATCTACCTTATGTAAATCATTTAATATATATACTTACTATATATAATAGTTACTTATGATATATACTAACAATCATATATCTATAAACAAAATACATAATGTTTCTTGAGCTCCATGTCTACAAACGTGACTGTGCTCATTTCAAGAAGTAATTGTTATCTTTTACAACCCATATCATTAGGATCAACTGTCTATAATTCAGTTAATACAACATTAAGAACAAAACCACAAAAAAACAAAGAAGTTTGTCCCATATGTGTGATAACTTTGTATGGTATTTCAAAGACACAGAAAAATCCATAAAAGTAGAGTTGATAAATATATATATTTAATTTTTTAATACATTCAATCCTTTTACTTGTCTAAATAAATCTGACTAGTTAGTGGGCTTTTTTTTTTTTTTTCATTTTCCTTAGTAATTATAATGAGAGGTGGCTCGTTTAAAATTTCAGTGATTGCTGTGATGCATTTGCTGGGCAACAAAATACTTGCATATTTAATAAGTTTCAACAGAGCTATAAACTTTTAAATGGTCAAAGGAAATCTTTTTGCAGGGTTTATTGGCTTCATAAATAAATCTCACAAAATAATATTACCTTCCCACTTGCCTGGCCTGTATATAAATATCCTAACTTGTCTTTAGAGGATGATAAATATTAAGCACAAAACAACAGGATTAGAATGCAGTGTATGTTCTGAAAGCAAACCTCGTAAAGAAAAAAACAATCCACAGCTAAAGAAAACATATATGCTCAGGTCAAATTAATCCAGGATTTCTTCAGGTTTTTTTTTTATTTCTATGTTAGACATTTGAATGAATATAATTAGCTTCTAAAAAAAATGAACCCATATGGAAGCATTATTGAACAACGATTTAACACATCCTTAAATATAATCAAGGACTTTCCTCCATCAGAATATACACTCCTCTGGATAATGCTGACACCTGATCAAGTGCTCTGTGTTCTCAAGGACCTGATTGGTCTGGTAGGAGATGTTAGGTTTTCATACCTGCCCTGGCTGACCAATATTCTGCCCATGGGTCCCAGCCTCAGGCATTGAGAGCTATGCAGATTCACCCCAGGGCTCCTTGCAAAGGTCTGGATTCAAGCCCTGCACACTCAGCCTGTCTCGTTGTGCTGCCTCCAAACTGTGTTTCCAGGCTTCCAACTGCTACTTTGTTGAGCAGTGGAGGTATTTCTGGTCTATAGAGATTTCTATTGATTTTTTTTTTTTTTTTTAGTGCTGCTATAAGTCTGTAAATCTAATGTTTTTCCTATCATTTCTATGTGTTAGGAATAGAAGGGATCCCTTTCAGTTTGTACTTAAATCTGTTATTTTAAATGAGAAGTCAATATTCTGATCCTATAATATAACCACAAAAAACAGAAATGTATATGGTATAATGATTACTCAACAATGGCTAGCAGGAAATAGCACTTGCTTTTGCTTGCAACCCTTCTATTTGTTTTCAACTTTATGAATATGTAACACTATTTAACACAAAACTAAAAATAGATTTTCCTTAGAAGTCTGGTAATTTGGGCTACATCACACTTGAGTGTCTTTTCCACTGTGCATGTGATGGGGTTTGCTGTAAGGTGACCCTATTGAGCCACTGTATTGGGAAAACTCATGTCAGAATCTTTAGGTTGTCCAAATATCACAGAGAAGACGTTAGTAGTTTCCTGCATAGATAATGGATGCTAAGTTAGAACAGAGGCAGGTAAACATTTATTTAACTCTTTTGTTTTCACCAAGGAATTTGTTATAGACTAAACTGTGTCCTGCTGAAATTCCTATGTTCAGGCCTTAACCTCCAGTGTGACTGTATTTGGAGACAGGGCCTAAAGGAGGTAATAAAGTTTTTTTTTTATTTTTTTTTTTTTAATTTTTTTTTTCAACGTTTTTTATTTATTTTTGGGACAGAGAGAGGCATAGCATGAACAGGGGAGGAGCAGAGAGAGAGGGAGACACAGAATAGGAAGCAGGCTCCAGGCTCCGAGCCATCAGCCCAGAGCCTGACGCGGGGCTCGAACTCACGGACCGCGAGATCGTGACCTGGCCGAAGTCAGACGCTTAACCGACTGCGCCACCCAGGCGCCCCAAGTTTAAATGAACTCATAAAGGTGAGGTCTTAATCCAACAGGACTGATGTCCCTACAAGAAGAGAGACACCAGAGATCTCTTTCTCAATTAGTGTGCACAGAGGAAGGGCCAACTGAGGAGGACACAAAAGGCAGCCACACACAAGCCAGGAAGAGAGTCCAACCAGAAACCAATGCTTGGATCTTGGACTTCTGGCCTCTGTCTTGAACTGTGAGAAAATGTCTGTTGTTTAAACCACCCAGTCTATGGTATTTTGTTATGGCAGCCTGAGCAGAGTAATATAGTATACATATCCTCCCTTTGGAACCTGCTTTTCCCTTCGCCAGAGACTCACCCAGCAGTCCTGGGGGGGGGGGGGGGGGGGGGGAGGACTCACCTGACAGCATGGAGTGGGCAAAGGGAGCTGGCACTCTAACTGAATTTTAAACAGACTTACAACACATCTCTCTGTTTTCATCCTATTTTACTCACATTTTTAGAGATGCTTATTGTAATTCTCAAACACTTGAAGTCTCTGCAGTGTAAAGCAGGTGGCTTTCCATTTTTTGTCATTGAGAGATTAAGATTTGGTTAATTTAATTTTATTTTGCAAAAGCAGTTACCATTTGTCCACCTGCTATCCAACTCCCAAAATGTTGCTATAATCTCCTTTGCTATTCTATTTGTTCTTCAGGGTTTACACTTTTTTATTATTATTTTTTTTAATTTCATTACAAGTTTTTAGTGAGAATTCAGTAAAAAGAACACTTAAATGCATGTTCAGTCCTCTATCTTTAACTGGAAATTACCTCTGTTTTGAAGCACTAGTCCCAATGTTTGTTTTGTTTTGTTTTGTATTTATTTGTGTTATGTATAGATTATGTATATATATATTAATTTTACTTTTTTTTTTTTTGGTATCTTCCTTTAATGGGAGTCCCATGAGGACACCTCATGGGATAAGGGTGTTGAGTATTCTTACTCACTCTTTTACTTACTCACCATTTGTCCTCAGTGCCTATCACAAATCCTGACAGACATCAGCAGAGGCTCAATAATTATTTTTTGAACAGACAAACTATTCCTCAGGTTTACATGGTGTGCCAATTGCCATAATTCTTTCAGGTGTAAGTCTTACTTTCTTCACTCTAATTCTACTTTGTCCCAGCTCACATTGCTTTGGTTTTCTGATCACTGACCAAGATACAATTGGAATGAGGCAATAAAGATATTTTTATACTTGTCTGTAGAGGAGTGAGGTTTGAAAAGGCAGTATGGAAGTTTGAGGTTTCCTCCAAATAGTTCCAAATAATACCACTCCAATTGTTTAAATATCATTAATTTTTTGTTCAATGCCATAAATATCATACAAGATTTCAAGCAATGCTGAATATTTAACCCAATTAAATATTTTTTTTAATTTTTTAAAAATTTTATTTATTTTTGAGAGAGAAAGAGACAGAGCATGAACAGGGCAAGGGCAGAGAGAGAGGGAGACACAGAATCTGAAGCAGGCTCCAGGCTCTGAGCTGTCAGCACAGAGCCTGATGAGGGGCTCAAATTTGTGAATCAGGAGATGACCTGAGCTAAAGTCAGATGCTCAGCTGACTGACCCACCCAGGCATCCCCCCCCCCAATTAAATAACTTTTTTCAAAATGTCAACATATTCACCATCTAAAACTTTCCTTGAATATTACCTAGAGTACATACAACTCATTTTAGGAAACACATAAACCAAAGAACAGAATCAACCGTATTATTTCTAATAATTCTCAGCTTAACTTGAAATTTATCACCATGGATCAAACTGAAACAAGCCAAACCCTGCTTGGCATTTTAGAATTTTAGCATGTAAAGGTTAGTGTTTACTTCATCAAGTATAATGAAGTATTAGAAAATTTAAGTTGATTTTTATGAGATTTATTTAATTACAAATAAATACAATGCATGTGTTTTTTATTGGAGAGTAAATGTTACTGTTAAAATACACAAGAAAAAATAATAAACTATTTTACTTCTGTACTAAATAACCCAGTTATGTTCTCTATAGCCACCAGGTCTCAAAGGTATCCTCACTCTTTACGTTATTGGGTTAAAATAGAAAATCAGGATGTTCTTCAATAAGATTTTTACTTTATAATCCAGGTTTATATCTAAATGGTAATGCCTTTATGATTCTTTTGGGAAAAATCCATTTTGTACTTACCTACAATGTCATTCATAAGGCCTAAAATAGTCTCATCTCCTGTAATCCAAGGACGTTTCCCTATCTCATGACCATAGGCTCCCCTGAAATTGGAAAGGGACATAAACATTATTAGTTTCTTGGAGGGTACTTGAGACTGCCCATGTACTATTCCATTTTTTTCTCTATTTTAGCATCTAAGATGTTCCTTTTTCTTCTTTATTTTGAAAATTTCAAGACTATTTGAACATTCTACTTGTATACCTGTAAGTATATAGTAAGTAGTATCTACACTAAAACATAGCTACTATTTTTTGAGGCTAAAGATTAAAATGATTACGAATTCAGTTTTTAAATACAGCTACAATCTGTAAACTAAATAAGAGTGTATATAACATGACTACACTCATGGTGACATTTTAAGTAGATAAATAAACTTGGCAATAATCAAAGCAAACACTGTATCTTGACCTGTTTTCTAGCAATTACATCTACCATATTATAGCTCAATTTTATTCTTCTAGTAAGTAAATATCCCCGTTAGGCATAATGACAAAACACAAAATGCCTAAGAGAACTTTAACTTTCAAGAAGTTTCCATTACATGAGGAAGGCAAATACTTTTGAAATACGCAGAAAAGAATTGAAAAAGAATCAAGGTGGGGAGTGACTTCATGTGCTGTTTCAAACTTGTGCCTTAGGGAACTCTGAATTAGACTGTCCTTAATTCTTTAGGAATCTAAAGACTGCATAAGGTTGTAGGAAAGGCATAAGCATGTATGTTTTGTGTAGTGAGGTCTGTGCCTGGATCTATACTTGAAATCCAGTGAGCTGGCAGTGGTGACGTGGTAAACCTGCTGTCAGAGGTGAAGGGGGGCAGAATATGTCACCCCGAAACATGTCGCTGTGGTGTATTGATTATCTTGAGCTGCAGGCTTAAAAAAAAACTGCTAATACAGGGAGAGGTTGTCCCTGAACTCCCTTATCTGCCTGAAGACAGATCCCCAAAAGGAATTCAGCTGTCATCAATCCCCTCCCTGGGAGTTTCATCAACCAGAAAAGATTGACTCTTGTCACAGGAAAGGGGACTAGAAGTCAACACCACATCCAGTTGGGCTTTGTCACAATCTATTCTATCTTTTATCTATTCTCCTAAGGGCTCTTTCGTCTTTCCTGAAAATCACTTATTCTCTCCTCTGTGGCCTCTCCTCTTATCCTCCTCCTCTTTCCCTATTAAGATAGGATTTAAGCCTGAATTCTAAGTCATTGCGAGGAGTTCTTTTCCCCCCGCACGTGTCTCCCATGTGTACGTAAGGTATACATGCTAATAAATGTGGGGTTTTTTTCTCTTGCTGATCTTTTATTATATGGGTCTCAGCTAAGAATTCAGAAGGATATGGGGAATTTTTTTTTCTCCCTGAGAGAGCAGTGAGGTAACAAGAGGAAAGGACCCCTGTTTTTAGCTTTTGTTGATTTGACGGTGTGAATATTCCCTGTGGTCCATTTCTTGGCATCCACAATATTCCTGAATATTTAATGACTGGTTTTCATTGCCTGGTCACAGCCAATTCCAGGTCACCACTGGTTATGACACTATATGTATTAGAAGCTGATAAGGCCTGTAAAAGCAAAAGTAAATGGGTGGCAATATGTACCTTAAAGGATTGCAATGGAATAACATGTAACACCCTTTTTCTGACTATTCCCTAACGTAAATCTAATGCTACAACTCCCTTCTTGGGCATGTGGGTTACAATACAGTTTTTAAACTAATATTTTGATTACCGTATAAACTGACATGAGGGAAGAGGACTTTCTTTGAGGATAAACAGAGACTGTAAGAACTGAGGAGGAAGAGAAGGGCAATTGCTAGCTATTATTATTCATATTATTATTAGATAGCCTGCAGCTTGCCTCTTCTTGACTTCCAATATAAATGCTAAAGACAAAAATCATTATCATTAAATGGTAGTTAAAGGCAGATACTTGGATCCTTTTTTATTTTAATCACACAGAGCTCCGTGGCCTTGCTGATAGCACAATACATCTTATTACATTTAGGTAGTAAAATTCTATGTTCTGCCTCAGAGAATTTATATCTCAGAATATTATGCCACCTACTTCTCACTCTGGTAGACACCGTGGCAATAATCTTTAAGAGTATGTTTCTTCTTGCAATGCATTTGCCATCTCCCCCCCTTTAAAATATCACACACAGAGTCTGCTTCTTCATTTTGTCAGTCTACTAGCCTGGGGTAGTGAAATGTATTTAGGAAGTTGTTACCCCAATAAACTCCAACTAAAGTGGCCTGTCTTTATAAAGAGTTGATGTAGATTACAGTGCAAGTTTAAACATATGTATCAGAGAAAACGATGGTATTGCTCTCATTCAAAACTGCCTAAAATACTTGCAGCACAGTTGGAATGTTCTTTTACAAGTGCTGGAAAGGAAAAGAGCGTGGCAAACAGTTCACTCCCCATTGAGGCATAAATCATTCCCCCTGAGTGAGGTGCTCTCTGAGATGTCTATGGAGTGCTATCTGCTCACGAAATTAGATCTCAGGACATAAAAGCCTATTAGGAAGTTAATAGTGGATCCTCTTTGAAATAGGACCATGCTTTAACCATCCTACAAAATAAAAATTAGCCCAGCTTTTTAAAGCTCCTCCCAGCCCCGCCCATGAGTAAATAAATAAGACATTAATGATTGGCCAACACAGATGTCAGGAAAACCTTTGTAACATGTAATTCCATGTACTTTCTTATTCATGCTGAAGGCTGGCAGACTATGCCACACTAAAATTTGCCTCTTTGGCATAAAGAATACCTTGAGCTGAAGGCACCTGATGAACAGCAGGTGAAGGGACTAGATTCCTCTGAACTCCCCCATCTGCCTGAAGACAGGTCCTCCAAGGGAACTCAACTATCATCAATCCTTCCCCAGGAATTTCATCAACCAGGGAAGATTGACTCTTTTTCCAGAGAGGAGCCTACAAGTCAACACCACACCCAGATGACTTTGTCACAAACTCTCAGGTCTCCCATCTATTCTTCTAAGTGCTTTACATCCTTCCTAAAAATAATTTATTCTCCTCTATGTGGCCTACATTTTCCTCCTCTTCCCCTCTTAAAATGATATATAAGCTCTCAAATGTCACCAATTTTTTTTTTGGTTTTCACTTTTTTTCCTGCCATGCTCTCATGCATATAATATTAACAATTAATAAATATTAATTATTATTTCTTATTAATCTGTGTGTTGTCAGTTTATTTTATAGATCAGTTGTTGAATGTAGGGGGTAGAGGGAGCATTTTTCTCTCCTAGAATACACTTTTTTTTTTTTTTTTTACAGAAACACTTGAATTGAATGAAACTGTAGTGTCAGCAGGAGCATGCCTCTCCCACGTGTGTCACCAGCACCCTCCCTGTACACATTGCCATGTCAAGTCAGGCACTGTCTGAACACTAGGCGGTTTGTTCCTAATGTGAAATTCAGTGGGCTATTTTCTTAAATAAGTCGACCTAAAATGTCACAGGTCTTAGAAGAATCCCCGTAAAGATACAAACTGGGTCAAGTCTTTGCGCCTATGAAAAAGAAAGAAAACCATATACCTAGTAGATATGACAATGAAAAAAACCCTAAAGTGTTGTGATTATATCTTAGAGACCTAATATACATTTCTCAACTTACAGTGTGCTCTTTGGGACGGATATATCTTTCTCGTGTAGCCAAACTTTCCCACTATGATTATTAACCCATGTTACTCTCCTTTAATCTGGGCCATCAGTAAATCCATAATACATAAATATGTCATTTTAAATTTCTAAAAAAATTCTGGCCAATCCACAGTATTCAAGCATATTAATGCTGTTTCTTATGGTTATAGCCCCATTTCTGATAATAAATTATCATATGTGAAATGAGTCAAATAATCATAAAAATTTTCTATTTCAGAATATTGAAAATATCTAAATGCTGTCATTTCACAAAGCAGAAATAATTCTCCCAAGTAAAGTGTTATTAATCTACTTTAAAAATTGCATGCAGTTGAAAATAGCCATAATGAGAAGTTAAACAAAATCCACAGAGGTAAGTGCATTATTTTCATTGTTTTGTCTTGAATAACTTAAAATTTTAGAAGAAATCAGTTAGGTCCAAAAATATTTCTTTTTAAAAAAAAAATTTTTAACATTTATTTATTTTTGAGACAGAGAGAGAGCACGAACAGGGGAGGGTCAGAGAAAGAGGGAGACACAGAATCTGAAACAGGCTCCAGGCTCTGAGCTGTCAGCACAGAGCCCGACGAGGGGCTCGAACCCACCAACCGCAAGATCATGACCTGAGCCGAAGTCGGACCTGAGCCGAAGTCGGATGCTTAACCGACTGAGCCACCCAGGCACCCTGGTCCAAAAATATTTCTAAGTGTGCCTCTATTCTTGACTTTCCTTTAGCTGAATTAATCAAAGATGGTAGCCCTATGAATTATAAAAATCAGTCTGCCTTATCGCCAGCGATGGTTTATTTTGTAGATAGGTAGGTACTAAGTCTGTGATAGGATGTAAAAGATAGAGATACGGACAATAATAGCCATAAGCCAAGTGGCATTTCCTACCTTATATGTCATAAATGGCCAGTCAGACTTGGTATCAATATCCCAGAGCAATATTTCACTTAGGCTAGGTACTGTAATTTTTAGTTACTGCTAAGATTATAATTTTCTAATATATTTTTTCCTGTTAAGAAACTAATTTCACTTTGCATTATTTAGGAACTGTGTAGCTCTCTTTGACTCAGTCCTTCTTGAAGTCTTCCACTGGTCAAGAAGAGAGGAAGGCACTGGCCTGATTTGGTTATCAGCTAAAAAGTAGGGCTGAAGTGGGGTTGGAGAAGGTGAAGAGAAACAGATAATCAGAAAAACTCACCACAATAATGGGAGGCCCTGGACCTAGAGGCAAACCAAACATATGTGGGGGTATTTAGTACAAAAACACAAGCAGAAGCCAGACAAGTGAATAGACCAACAGCCCACCATAGTGGCAAGAAGATTACTTAAATTAAAAGCATGTGAACAAACAGCAGCCTAAGAAACACTAGACTTAGGGAGAACATTCTGAAAATGATTAGAAATATTTTAAAAATATATTCTGATTATTAGAATCTCAAAATAGATATGAAGGGAAGCCAAACCTGAAAGTCAGGGAAAAAAATGCAGGAAAATGAAACCAAATCAGATAAGAATTCTGAGCAAGACATTTGGCTCTCATGGAAACTCTGTCTTCTTCTTTCTTCAGTTTTCATGCCACTGGTCCTTCATATTGGTAACAGTGCCTCTGTTTCAAGTTTATTTTAACACTGCCTGTGCTAGTACCACAGGCATTAGATAACACTGCAAAGTTCTTTTTTTTTTCTTAAGTTTATTTATTTATTTTGATAGAGACAGAGACAGTGTGAGTGTATAAGGGGCAGAGAGACAGGTAGAGAGAGAGAATCCCAAACAGGCTCCGTGCTGCCAGCACAGAGCCCAATGTGGGGCTCGAACTCACAAACCCAAGAGATCACTATCTGAGCTGAAAGCAAGAGTCAGACGCTTAACCTACTGAGCCACCCAGGCACCCCATAACATTGCAAAGTTCTTAATTTCAGTGGTTAAGAATATAAATTCACAACTCAATACAAAAATCATAGAGGCTTACATAATTTATTAAGCCTGTATAACTTTATCTGCATAACTTGTATGCATAAATTGAAAAGTAAATATCACCACATTTGGAAGCATTTTGCACTAGCAGGGTTTAGTATTTAAAAAATGAGGGTCATAGTTAATAAAAATGGTTAATATTCATTTTTGGCCCTAATATAAAAGAGAGCAGAGAATTAGATTGGATTTGAACTTTAGAGTGTCCTTGCCCCCTGGATATTCATTCAGCAAGGCTGTGCATTTTTATCCTTTAGGAATTTAAAAAAGATTCTGCCCTGCTGTCCTGTTCATCTGCTATGATTACCGTACTTTACTAGGAGACTGGTTGATTGTTTTCAAGACTTTAAAGTTGTATTCCAGGGAAGTGTCTTTATGTCATAACACCCTTCTATTGTTGTTGATTTTAAATTTTATATTTTACCTTGTGACAATGGAAAATTACATACTGTTAAGCCCTTCTACCTATTTTTTATTAGACAGATGATTCAGAAAGGAGGTGCATTATTAACGCTTCAAGCAATGTCAACTAAATTTAAAAAGACTTCTGAGTAAAAGATGAGGTAGCTAGTTTGTTTTATTTTGTCTTTGTTTTGTTTTATTTAGCCTTCTTGCTTTATTATTTTTTAAATTATTTTGTTTATTTTGAGAGAGTGAGAGAGAGAGAAGGAGCAGGGGAGGGGCAGAGAAAAGCCCAAGCAGGCTGCATGCTATCAGTGCAGAGCCTGTTGTGGAGCTCAAACCCACAAACTGCAAGATCATGACTTGAGCCAAATCCAAGAGTCAGACGCTCAAGCGACTGAGCCATCCAGGTGGTCCTGGTCTTTTTGCTTTAAATTGTGGTGGCCCAGTCAACATCAGGGTCCCTGTTGCCCTGTGGATGTCAGTGGTGTTTGAGGGCCATGATCAAAATCGTGTTCTATCCTATCTCACTGCCCATCTTTGATCTCAAAAGTGTTCATTATTTCTTTGGTCCTAAATGTTTAGCTTAAAATTTTACTCTGGACTTTTCCAGCTAAGTTTCTGTTGGGATGAAAACTTTTCCTCTATTAGTTTACATCCTTTTGGTTGAGGGCCTGCAGGTTGATTGATATGAGATAGATTAACAGGAAAAGTTTCTTTCATGGGCACGCAAAAGTACTCAACAAAAAAGCGATTCACTGAATCGCTTAGGATGATTCATCATCCTAAAAAAGAATGAAATCTTGTTCTTTACAACAATGTGGGTGGCTCTAGACAGTACAATGCTGAGTAAAATAAGTCAGTCAGAGAAAGACAAATACCACACAATTTCAATCAGTTGTGGAATTTAAGAAACAAATGAACAAAGGAAAATAAAAGAGACCCAAAAAACCAAACTCTTAACTAAAGAGAAAAAAACTGATGGTTACCAGAGGGAGATGGTGGGGGGATGACTGAAATACGTGAGGAGGATTAAGAGCACATTTATAGTGATGAGCACTGACTAAAATATAGAATTGTTGAATCACTATATTGTATACCTGAAACTAATGAACTCCATATGTTATTTATACTTGAATTTTTTTTAAAATGAAGAAAAATATTAAAAATGGACTATATATATATATATATATATATATATATATATATATATATAAAACATCATCTTTATCTTTATCCATTTATCTATGGATGGACACATGAGTTGCTTCTGTATCTTGGCTATTGTACGCAACGCTGCAATAAACATAGGGATGCACACATCTTTTCAAACTAGTGTTTTTGTTTTGTTTGGGCAAATATTCAATAGTGGAATTACTGCATCATACAGTAATTCTAGTTTAAATTTTTTGAGGAACCCTTGCACTGTTTTCCACAGTGGCTGCAACAGTTTGCATTCCCACTAGCAGTGCGTGAAGGGTCCTTTTTCTCCACATCCTTGCCAACACTTGTTATTTCTTATGTTTTTTATTCAAGCCATTCTGACAGGTAAGAGGTGATATCTCACTGTGGTTTTAATTTGCATTTCCCTGACGATGAGTGATATTGAGCACCTTTTCACAGGTCTTGTTTTTAATAGTGTAAATATTAAACAATTTTAAAATAATATTAAATTTTGGGGGGCTCCTGGGTGGCTCAGTTAGTTAAGTGTCCAACTTTAGCTCAGGTCATGATATGGTACATGGGTTCAAGCCCCGCATCAGCTCCGCACTGACAGTGTGGAGCCCATTTGGGATTCTCTCTCTCTCTCCCTTTCTCTGTCCCTGCCCCACTTGTGCTCTCTCTCTCTCAAAACTAAATAAATAAGCTGTAAAAAGAATGTTACATTTTTTATAGCTAAAAGTATTTTTAAAGTATTTTCAGTTTCAGCTTTATTAGTAACTACTGAGGAAGGATAAGAAGCACATAGGATTAAGTTATTTCCCTAAAGGAATTTATAATATGGCTGAGAATATGAAACCAATGAAAATAGATACCTCTAAACTACTTATCCCAGAGCAGTGATTGTTAATGCAATGGGCAGTTGGGGAGAAGAGATCATCTGCATGATTGAGAAGGTTGAGATTAAGAAAGGTAAGCATCAAGGGAAGCAGAAGGTATGAAGGGTTTCATAGGCAGAAGAGTAAAAATAGAACAGAAGAGATGGAGGGGGAAAAAAAAAACAGATATGATTTCAGATTCCCACATGGTTGGAGCAAACCTACTTAACTAAGCCCACAGTATCTTTTTAGTAAGCACGCTCAGTTTGGGGATAGCAGTACCTTCTGCTCCACTATTTTCTCCCTCTCGATAATTTTTACTTTCTTATTTATAAAAATCAGTGTGATAGAATTTAGCTGGAATGACTCATGAAAATACTGAATTGAATTCTAAATATTAACTCCTTTAATTAGTCACAAAATAAAATAAAATGATTACATATGATTTAGATATATCACCTTGGGAGAGGGACTTTTTTCTAATATTGTAAAAGTGTTATTCTTGACTCTGCCACTAACTTGTCATCTGACCTTATTTACTGATCCTTAGTTATGTCATTAATAAAATAAGAGTATTGAATGACATGATTCCTAAGGTCCCTCTGTATCCTAAACTTCCTGGAGTCTATTGTATACCTTTATAAATATTAGATAACCTAGTGTGATTTTTAAAGCTCTTACTAATTCGAAGAGATACATGCACCCTGATGTTTATAGCAGCATTATTAACGATAGCCAAATTATGGAAACAACCCAACTGTCCATCTATAATGAAGAGGATATAGATGCAATGGAAATCTACTCATCTATAAAAAGGAGGAATTTTTGTCATTTGCAACAATGTGGATGGAACTTGAATATATTATGCTAAACGAAGTAAGTCAGTCAAAGAATTCCATATGATTTCACTCATATGTAGAATTTAAGAAATAAAATAGAGGGGCTCCTGGGTGGCTCAGTCAGTTAAGCATCTGACTTCGGCTCAGGTCATGATCTTGCGGTTCGTGAGTTCAAGCCCCACGTCGGGCTCTGTGCTAACAGCTCAGAGCCTGGAGCCTGTTTCGATTCTGTGTCTCCCTCTCTCTCTCTGACCCTCCCCCGTTCATGATCTGTCTCTCTCTGTCTCAAAAATAAATAAACCATAAAAAAAATCTTAAAAAAAAGCAATAAAATAGATTAACATAGTAGGGGGGAAAAAGAGGCAAGCCAAGAAACAAACTCTTGACTGTAGAGAACAAACTGCCGGTTACTGGAGGGGAGGGGGACAGGGGAGTGGGTTAAAATAGGTGATGGGGATTAAGGAGGGCACTTGTGATGAGCACTGGGTGTTATATATATGTAAGTGATGAATCACTAAATTCTACATCAGAAACCCGTATTACACTGCATGGTAACCAACTGAAATTTAAATAAAAATTTGTAGAAAAAAAAATAAAGTCCTTGTGTGAGATGTCAAATGATAGCTTTTGAAATAATACTTACATTTTGGCCCACTTATCTAGTTCTTCTTCCAGATATGCTTTAACCATTTTTGGTTGCAGGCCAAGAGAATTGCCCAAGAAATAGATGGCATTTTCATCCTTATTCACTAAAGATAAATCAACTGAAACAGAAAGAAATGAAAAAAATGCGTATTCAATTAATTAACTTTCTTCCATTTGGCATTGTTAATCCAGTACAAATAATTAATGTAATTAACTCCAATAAGGATAATAAATAACTTATAATTCTTCCCAAAGATAATATCACATTCTCAGGAAAATAATTATTCTTTTACATTTATATTTTAAAATATAATTTAAATGTATAGACTTTTATTGAGAGCTCTCATATTTATTGTGCTCCACAAGGAAGTCTAAATTAGCAACTATACCCGATCATAAATGGACGAAGGCAAAGAAAAAATGTTAGAAGCAGAATTTTTATAGGAAGTATATCAGCCCATCTAGTCATACTAGAAATTTACCAGAGTCTAAGCAAGTACTCACCCTCTTCAATAACTGGTGTTGTAGATAAGACAAATAAAAAAAAATTAAAGGAGTACTTACATATCTGAAGTAGATATATTAGATTTATACATTTTGTCACTCTATATATCTATATGCATATATTAATATATACATATGCAAAGATTGTTCTCTGTATTTATGTCTCATTCAAATAAATCAGAATTTTAGTGATTTGTCTATCTTACAACTCTCCTTTGACTGCAACAAATGCAGTTTCACTAGCAAACCAATTCATGTCTGAAGACTCAACGTGTTCCATGCAGGTCGGCCTCAGCAATGACCAGCATGAGTAGCCAATCACGCATATCTCTGTTCCCATTGTCTTGTCTTGTTCTTTCATTGCTGATGCTTTTACACACAAATAAATAGTGGGCTGCTCATATCTAGACAGTCATGTTTAGTGTGCTCAATGTGAGAGAAAAACAGAATTATAAACGAAATTATCTTGTCCCATGCCAGACAAAAGTAGCTTCCCCATCTCCTTTCCCCATCTTTGTTGAGTTGGTTGTTTAAAAAGTCTCAAAACACATCAAATGGCTTTGAGAATTCAATTGGCATTGTGTAATATGGCAGAATAGAATATCCAGGAAATATATTTTATAAAAACCCACGACAATAGATTGCCTACCACTCTCCACCTGAGTCGCATTGGATCTGTGCAACATGAAAGACAAGCAGAACTTTAATCCTTGGGGCCTAGGCTTCTCTTGTGCCAGAAAAATGTTAAATATGTTTGTTATTAAACACTGGTGTTCTTGGCAGTGATGGGATTCAAAACTGCGCATTTTACACCAAAATATGGCACCTGGGCATACTAAATATTTTCAGCTGAGAGAATTTGAGAAATGGAAAGACCTTCTGACTTTCCCCTAAGGAGGTCATAAAACCCTCCTGTGAGAGGTGCCCTCCCTATATATCTTTATCTCCAAGACACTGAGAGGAATTGAAAGAAATAGGCCTTACTGTTCCCCCAGTTTACTACTCTTAGCTCATACCCTTCATTATCTTGTCACATTCCCCCATGACCTTTCAGTCTTCATCAAACCTAGCATTAAAAACTCAGGTTTAACTGCTTCTTCAGATCTGCATTTCCTGTTGAAGTCTCCTCTGTCATGTAAAACTTGTAATTAAAAAAAATGTATGCTTTTATTGTGTTAATTTGTCTTTTGTTACAGGGCTTTGGCCTTGAACTTAAAAGGGTAAAGGAAAAAGATATTCTTCCTTTCCTACAGCAGCATAGGGTGCTAACAGAAAAAGGACAAGGCCTTCAAGGGTTGAAGGAAAAGCAGGTGAACCAACTTGGTGAAACTGCTTTCCATAAGACTGAGAAAAGGAAGGAATGTATCCTCTGCAAGTGGCTCCACTAAAGATCCCAGGCATGACAGAAACCTGGTCTAGTCCCCAGGTGTCCCCAGATTGATGGAAAGGAGAGGCTGCTGCCAGTGAAGCCACTTGCTCTCAAATGGCCATAGATGCGGGGCAAGGGGGATGAAGACAGTTCACCACAGACCTGTTCCTAGGGATAGCAAGAGGCCTCCACAAATTTCTGGACCCCTAGGAAGAGCGAAGGCAAATTCCCAAATAAAGGAACCAAGATTTTCCATCAAATCTTGTAGGTGTCAAATTTGATTCCATTTTCAAAAAGTGAAAAATGAAAAACTATACCATTTTCAAAAATGAAAACCTATACCATTTTTGTACCTCCAGTGTGAGACTGCAAATTATATCCCTTGCTATATATTTTAATTGATGTACCATGGCTCAAATTTCAACTAAGTATTCAAATAAGTACAGTAATCCAGACCATTGGGAGGATATTAATAAGGATGAGTTTTTTTAGGGAAAACAATATGTATTTACTTATTTAGAGAGAGACAGAGATAGAGAGACAAAGAGAAAGAGAGAAAGTACAAGCAGAAGAGGGGCAGAGAGAGAGGGAGAGAGCGAATTCCAATGTCATGAACCATGAGCCGAAATCACAAGCTGGACACTTAACTGACTGAACCAGCTAAGTGCTCCAAGAATGACTTTTTTAAAAAAAAAATTTTAATGTTTGTTTATTTTTGAGAGAGAGAGAGAGAGACAAAGACAGAGTGCGAGCAGGGGAGGGGCAAAGAGAGGGAGATACAGAATCAGAAGCAGGCTCCAGGCTCGGAGCTGTCAGCACAGAGCTCGGTGAGGGGCTTGAACTCACGGACTGTGAGATCATGGCCTGAGCTGAAGTCGGACACTTAACTGACTAAGCCACCCAGGCGCCCCCTAGAATGACTTTTTTTTTTTTTTTAATTTATTTTTTTTTTTAATTTTTTATTTTTTTTTTAACGTTTATTTATTTTTTTGGGACAGAGAGAGACAGAGCATGAACGGGCGAGGGGCAGAGAGAGAGGGAGACACAGAATCAGAAACAGGCTCCAGGCTCCGAGCCATCAGCCCAGAGCCCGACGCGGGGCTCGAACTCACGGACCGCGAGATCGTGACCTGGCTGAAGTCGGACGCTCAACCGACTGCGCCACCCAGGCGCCCCTAGAATGACTTTTTAATTGCACCAAATAAAAGATCCTCCTTCTCATAGTGATCTCTCATTCCTCTTAAGTCTAATGAACCTTGGGAACTAGCTTATTTTCCTAGTTGGATTCTGTAGAATAATTATAAACTCACTTTATTTTTCTCACACCGCTGCCCTTCAAACAAGTTTTACTTGAGATGCATTCATCTCCCTGTGTGATATCTCCTACAGGTCTCACACTTGTAGGTATTACAGATGCATTTTCTTCTCTCTCCCTCTCTCTCTCTCTCTCTTTCTCTCAGCACTGCCATAATGGTTTGTATTCTTGGAGAAAAGGGAGAATAAAGCTAGCAATGGGAGAAGGACTATTAGGACCTAAGTTTGGGAAGAACCACCTCCCATCTTCATACATATGTACTGTACAACCATGGCCCTCCCCTGTTCACTAGCCTGTAACCAACTACGAGAAACAGTAGCTATGGTAGGTCAGAGAGGGGGGATGCATTGGAGAGGAGAAATTTATAAATGAATTTCCTATTGCAATGCCTTTCAACAAATACTCAGTATGTTTGGAGCATCCAGTTAATGTTATCAAAGTTGGCCAAATATTGATCTAATTGTAAATATACTGTCGGATAACAGTACTAGCTGTTCTCTTTGAAAGAAATGAAGTATTATTATCTTACAACCATATATACATAGGTATAATACTTTTTAAACTAGTTAAGATAATCTATTCATGAAATGATAATTTTTAAAAGACAAATATAAAACTAGACATTTATGATCTTTATATATTTTATTTGGATTTATGTACTAATTTATCACATCAGGAACTTTACAAAAATACAATGCCTAAGCTTGATACAGAGACTCCAATTTAATTGGTCTGTATGGGGCCTGGAGGTAGACACTATTTTAAAATCTTTCCAAATAATTCATTATATGGCCACATTTCAAAAGTCCTGGCATTAGCCCCCATGTTAAAAACAAAACCAAACCAAAACTGAGATTTCCCAAGTTTAACTGATTTCTTCAGGTCACAGAAGATACCTAACTTTTAACTTAATGTAGTATGTCATTATTATAATTTACAATTTTATTAGTCCACTTAAAGTAAAATACATGTGAAATCATTCTAAAGCAAGGTTAGTTAATTATAAAGGAATTTTAATATTTTCCTTATTATAAATTAAAGAGGAAACCTAGAAGTAACTGAAAAACAGAAATAAATTCCAAAGATTTAAAAAATGACTAGTTTATGTAAAGAATATTTTCTAAAGTAAATTTTATATAAAAAGGAAGTCAAGCGTTAATGGTTTTGTTTCTAAGGTGACAGTGTGTATCTTTGTTATGTATGCCAGGGGATACTATATGCACGTAAACCGACATAAACTGAGAGTGTCAGTGTGTGAAGTAAATCTAAATATTTCCTTTCAGCATTGCAAATTTTGTTTAGTTAATTCTGTATAATTTTTATGTTTATTATCAGAATATTATTAGATACTTATTGATTGGAATAAAATACTAGTTTGGTAACATATTCTGCTCTAAGTTTTTCAAATAATAAATTTCACTCTTTTTAAATATAGCTAGTTTTAATTGATGCTTTTCTCTTGAACTCCTGGGTTGGCTCCTGTGACAGATTTTCATCATAAATTTTTCTTTTTGTCTGCAGTAATGGGAAAAAAAAAGAAAGAAACATCTCTGTGAAAGTTAACCCGCACCAGAAATATATTTGTTTATTTGTTTTGAAAGACTTTATATTTAAGAGTTTGTTTCCTCCATATGTGTATGAAAAAATGAAACCCTTTACCCAGCAAAGGGACATTAGATAGGTAGGTTTATGGGCATTACTGCAGTGCTGTGCTGATTAGAAATCCTAGGCTAAAACTGAAAGGAACAATCCAAATGACAGCCCTGCCTTAGTTTAAAGCTAGGTTCTCTTTTCTGCTTATTATGGATCTTTGATAAGAAATACAATTGCTGAGAAGTCTGTTTTGCTTGCTGTTTGCTACAAGCATTGTGAGGCCTTTCCTGAATGTAACCCGCTGTGTAGTAGAATGGGTTGTAAAACTTCCTAAATGT